CACGCTTGCGTTGTTATGCCTTCACACACCACTATTGTCAGACAAGCACCGAACCACTCCTAAAAAAGTTATTGGTGGTAGTGGTAATGATTTGGACAGATAAGCAAATTAGGTGGACTTATTTGGAAACTTGGCTATTTTAGTTAACTTTTTGACTATTTTACGGGTTGTTTGGAAAATGTTAGATTAGCATACTTTCTTTTTCAACAATGATTCATCCTCCCTTTTCCTCCCACCCCCTTTGACCCCCTCTCTCTCTCATTGGTTATATTTTCTTTTTCTTTTTCTTTTTTTTCCTACTCCTCCAATCACCATCCGCCACGTGACAAAGGGGGTGAGGGGGTGACCCCCAAAAGGGGGTCCCAAGCATTATTCTTTTTTTATTTTTTAAGAAAAACATATGAATTGTGGGTTAGGGTTGAAGTGATGTAGTAGATAAGTGATTCGACTCAAATAAGATAATTGTAACCAAAATAAATAATGTTATTTTAACACATGCCAAACAAAATTTTAGTTTCGCTAAAAAACTTGTGTTTTGGATAATAGTTGGGATTTTCTTTTTCTTTTTTGTAGTTGATTTAAATGGTGGTAAGAAAAAAAATGAAATGATTATAGTCGAGATGTGATATTTTCTTATTAGCTATTTTATTTTGTTTTTATTGACTATTTTAGCTAAAGTCACTCGTCCCAACACAAGGCTAATAAGTAGACAGATGAATGACACATTGACAGATAGGTGAATGAATGAATCAATATTGACAAATAAATGACATTTGAACGAACAGATTACAATTGAACAAATACAGATAACATGGTATTGAACAAATAGAGATAATATGGTATTTCGCTTTTTTGTTGTCCTAATAGCCTCAAAAGATTTAATCTTAGGCCCACCGGCCTAAAAATATAAAAATAGATCTCTAAGCTGAATCTTCTTATTTTTTCTTATTATGGGGCTTTTTGTTAAGTTGTTGGATTTCTATATTGTTGAACCATAATTGTTCTTATTTACTTTGATTCAGATTTATAATTAGTCTTTGTTTCTTTTTCTACTAGTATATTATTTGTTTTTATGCTTCTCAAAAAAAAAAAAAAAAAAACCCATCCGAAACGGCCTTGAGTATTAACCCCCTCCCACAGCCATAAAGCTGACTTGTATCTACCACCATTGATCATCTCCACCACTGTCAACACTTCATCCACTATTAACCCCTACAACACAATTCATTCTCCGGAAATTATTCAATACTTTCAGAATATCACGCGTTTATACTTTAAACTAATCACTAATTAGTTAGCCTCATGTGATCCCTCCATTTCCAACATAAATTGTGAGCCCACGTGTCTCTCCATCAATCAAAACCTTATGGAGCACCACGTGTCCATACACCGGAACTACTGAATAATCACCCTTCATTCTCACCTTACGTTATGTTTAGTTGAAAATTTTGAGAAGAGAAATGGAAAGAAAAAAAGAAATGGAAGGGAAAGGAGAAATAATTAATAGGATTCTAATTCCAAATTATATTTGGTTGAGTTGGGAAATGGTGAAAGAAAATAAATCATTTCTCACCTTGTATGCTCTGACCAATGGGTTCCACAGAACAAAGGATAATTGTTAACACCATAAATCTGCAATTTTTATTATTATTTATTATTTATATAATTGCAGGACACGTGGCATCCTCTTATTCATTTGGAAGTTAAAGGAAGTTATAAAGATAATGGAGAATATGAAGGACAAAGTGGATGAGTGGGAGGACAAAGTGGATGAGTGGAATGACACATGGCAAGACAAGAATGAAGATGGAAGAAATGGGTAGTTACTAAGTAGTTATTGCTGTATTTTTTCTTCTATAAATAGCCATTAATGGCTACATTGTAAAGGGGCCAGAATTCATAATCAAAGACACTTGATTTCAATATTTCTTGTCATTTTCCTTATCTTAGGAGTAGTTTAACATAGATTTATATTTTGAAGCATTTATTTCCAGCACTTTTATTTCGAAGCATTTCATGCACTTCATTTTCGAAGCATAGGAGTAGAGGTAAGTAATTATTACTTCGATTGTTCACTCAATCGTCTTTCTCCATCCCTCTTTCTTCTTTTACTTTTTCTTTTCTCTACACTTGGCAAATTTGAAGTCCTCTTCGTTGAGGCAAAAGAACCGTCAACACAATCGCTTGATAATTGGCTTGAATTTAATCTGTAAGGATTTTTCCTGACTTAGGCATCGGAGAGGTTTCCGGCACACACCCGCCGGCTAGCTCACGTTTGTGTTTTCAGGTGACAAAGCGACTTCGTACGGAGGAGCGTAGACTTGGTCAATAGGATTATACGAGGAGAATTATTTCCTCCCCGTACAATATATATTTTTTTATGGCAATATCATCAAGAAGTACCCAAAAATTAAGTTGTACACAATTGAACATCTCATAAAGTTTATTTTATGGGACTGATAGTTTCAATTGTTTTTAAAAAAAACGAGGAAGCAGTTTTTTTTTGTTTCTTTAAATTAAAAAAAGAATAAAGAGGTGTGGTCGTGAATTGTTATGATGAAAAATAACAGCGTGCATGACTTAGATTGGTTCAATTTTGAAAAAATTCAAGAATCAAAATGCTTATTCAATCTTTTTTAAACACAAATTAATTTGATAAAAATAAAAAAATTTAAAAATTATTTATAACCTCCCAAAAAATAAAATTGCATAAAAATAATAAGTATTTTTTTTAAAATTTCTTTCACCTAATTAATATTTTAGGGGAAAAAAAAATTTGGAACAAGTTTTTGAAAACCAAATCAAACAGGGCTTGTCTGGAAAGTTGGCTATTTTAGTAGGCTATTATTGAAACTGGCTATTGTAATAAGATATTTTAGTTTTTGATTATTTTAATGGGCTAAAATATTTGTATTTAGAAATATAGTTGAATTTTTTTGTAGTTAAATGTGATATTTATAAGAAAAAAAGTGAAATGATTATGAATTTGATATGACATTTTATCTTATTAACTATTTTAACCTATTTTGTCTTTTTGTAAATTTTAACATAAAAAACAAAAAAACACGTTTGCCAAACAAGGCCAGTCTATTGATTTTGTGATTTTAATAACCCAACTGAATAGTTAATCGCTATAAAACTAGACTAGAACCAAAACGAAAAAATAGTTTTGTTTCAGATTAGTTTATGATTGCAAGAGTTCCTATTTAAATTGTAACACTACCAAAATGATTATTCAATAAAATGAACATATTTTATTAATGATGATCAAGTTAATATTATTAAAGCATTAAATCTATAGTTTTATCAAAATAATATCACAAATATTACACACACACATACACACAGAGAAAAAAAAATCAACATTAAAATAGAACTTGATAAGCAATACATAGCATTCACATCCACAATATGGGTGTTTGGGATGTGAGTTTTTTTGTTAATTTTTTTTGTTGTAAGATATTATTGGAGAATTTTTTTTTTGTGTTTGAGAAGATAGTTAGATTTTTTTGTGGTTGGATGTGATGTTTGTGAGAGAAAAAGTGAAATGATTATTGGGTTTGATGTGATATTTTGTTTAGATTTGTTTTCTTTGATTTTGTAACCAATTTGTCTTTTAGTGAAAAATAACAAAAAAAAAAAAAAAACCCAAAAAACCAAGTTCCCAAAGACCGCTATAAAGAAGTGCAACAGAGGCCATTATGCAATAGAGGCCATTTGGAATCTCAAAGACACATCCATGCCCTGAATCTACCATTCAAGTGCAGCAAGCAACTAAGAAAGTCTACATACAAAAAATCCAAGCCTAATGATATTTTGATAGGTTCACCAAATCTCTTAAAACTTCAAATAAAAAAGTACCGAAGAAAGAAAAATAATACTATGCATCAAAGATTGAAGATCCAAATTTAACAGACAACCAAAGACCTCGGCGTTCAATAGGGCAAGCTAGGTACGCTCGATCATCACTCACTTCTTTAGTAAGAACTTGATACACCTTCATTCGAGAAGCATCACTCATGCTACTAACCTTCTCAATCTCCTTAGATAAATTGTTCATTTGTATAGTTTTGAAGGTTACCGTGATCAAGTGTTGCTGCAACTGTATCTAAACCATCCTTAATTGACCTTATTTCCTCACTTAAGGTATCACCTGATTTGTTCTTTCTTTTCTTTGAGTTAGAGGAACAAGATACTTCAGCAGCTTGGTCATCTTGTTGAGTTTCAATCCCATCAAAATTCTCTGAGAGTGACTCTGTCTGATAAGTATTTTCATCATCCAAAAGAATTTGTTGCCTAGCCCAACAAAGTTGCTTTTCTTTTGGACCTACAACAAGACTCCCAATTGCTCGATCCTTTTTAAAGAGTTAACACAACTTTTGAAAGTTTTGAATCGGAACATGTCGAAAATGAGAAGCTTTAGGCTTTGCTTATAGAGAATAACATATATAATATTATATTAAATAATGATGAATAAAAATTTTAATTTTCTAGTACAAAACTACATCAATCTTGCAATTAGATATACCTTGAGATAAGCTGCTCATACACATGTTGTAGCTTCAATCAGTTGTGTTGAATGATTATATCCAGATCCACTATCAGTTGTTAACATAACTTTAGCCATTGCAAGATTCTTTTTTAAAGTCTTCAACCGATTCCTTATATGACCAAAACCACAATGTACGCTAAACTTGGTATTCACCACATTACTTGTAGCTTTATAAGCAGATAATGTGAAACTACCACCAATTTTTTGCCCTTTGAGCATTTGGTCTAAGAGTGCGTCGATAAGAACAACATCCATTTGATTATTCCATTTCAAATGTTTCTTGATAATTTCTATCGAAGCATTCTTGGTCACCTTCCACCTACACTCAAAAATGCCATAAAACATATAGAAAGAAGTGCATAGCTAGTACCAAATTATCACCCAAACAAATGCAATTTTCGCATAACACAATAGCAAATTAAAATATAATTCATTCCAAAAGATAACATTCAAATAATAATAATTAACTCATCAAATTTTTGTTTTATTAGCAAAAGAAAAAGATTATATTGATGTAAAGCAAATGAGTATATAATGGGTACATCGCAAGAACAAGAAGAAGAACATCAAATAACCCTTTCAGCCCCTCTCTATTTTCCAGGATCTATATTATAATTTGATTATCATTGAAAATTTATATTATAATCCCTCCAAATGTCAATAGCTATTCGTTCCCTTAATAATTCTCATTCCCTACATTCTCCAGATGAACATGATGTAGCCACGTTAATTTGCACTTGTGCTCTTCTAAGCTCTGTATCAACCTCCTCAATAAGACTTTCATTGGGATCAATACCCATGAGGTAGTTGTGCAAAATACAACATGCCAAAACAACATCTGCTAGAGTGTCAACATCATAATATGGCTCTATCCCACTTCCTAAAATTGAAAACCTTTTCTTTAGGACACGAAAGGCTCTTTCAATTGCATTTCACAAAATGCATGACAAAGGTTAAAAAGCTCTCGAGAATTTTTTGGCTGAAGAACAGTATACTCCTTCAAATGGTAACGAGTACTTCTATATGGAGCAAGGAACCCAGTTTTTAGTTGAAATCCTGCATCTACTAAGTAATATTTCCCTAGGACCAACAAACAATTAAATGATGTTAGTTTGAAATAAAACAAAAAAAGATTTATATTCATCAGCATATATACACATTCAGTGATCCCCATGAGGAGCAATCAATTTATCCATTTCTCTTGTTAATGCATTATCTAATATTCTTGAGTCTGAAGCAGATCCTTCCCATCCCGGAAGGATATATGTAAACTTTAAATCAAAAGAACATGCAGCCAAAGTATTTTGAGTGGGATAGCATTTTCGTCCTCAGTATCTTTGTGCATCCATATTCGACACTCTTACACAAAAATGTGTACCATCAATCGCACCAACACAATCCTGTAAAAAATTCATTATTTGCATCCAAACATATAATATCATACACTAATTGCATTCATGTAACTACCTTAAAATAAGGCCAATACTTTGGATTGTTTCTAATCTCTGGCGGGCACTCGAATCCATCAGGTTGCTTTAAAAAGATATCTTCCAATGATATAATAGCTTTAAGAACTTGATGAGAATGTTGACTAACAATCCCAAGTGATCGTTTGTAAAAGAACTTGATTGTATGTTCCTCAAATTATTGCCAATTATATGAAGGAATTTCGCAACTTCTTCTACTTTACTTTGAGGATTGTCTCTAAGAAACTGAGTTCTTTTAAGCATGCTAACTAGTGTGGCAAAGGTATATTTGCTCATTCGTAACCGGCTACGACAATCTGCATCTTTCAAAGTCATTAACCGTTTGATTAGGACATATCTTTCATAATCTCCTTGTTCTAAAATTGACTTCCTTATATGATCATGACGATGAAGAATTGAGACAAGGCTGACAGCATATGAAGCATACATAGCTACACAAGTGGCTGCCTACTTTCTATACTTTTCCCATTACTCTTGGTCATGAATCTACAATTTTTTAAAATAAAAAATCACATCCACTTGTTAATAATGTTTCCATGTTGCAATGATACATCAAAAAGTTCCCAGTTCAGAATTGAAATGATACATCAAAAAGTTCATAGACTAGGCAACACTGAAATGACAACCCATTTAGGTACAATGTTTCAAACTTGTTTTCCTAATCAACTAATTTAATGCACAATAGAGTCTACCCCTTTTAATTTAAATAATACTACAACAAATACTCTGTTTGAAGTTAACATGTACCAATCTTTTTCGACAGTCAGTTGATCCATCTTATCAAATTTTTGAGGAAGGACTTCTTACACGCACTGATAAAAGCAAGTGCAAATATCAAAGCTTTCTTGAAAAAGAGTAATATAACTTGACACAGAGAAAAAATGACTGAACACTCTTCAAATATTAGTTTATCTTCATACTCAACAAGCTAGTAAATAAGGACTCTACCATAAGAAAAATGAGTCTTATTGGTCATACATGGAACCTCATTATCAGATGTAGGGTCGTTTCCATCATACTCCACTTCTACTGTCCTACTATACTCATATCACCCAAAACTAATTTAATCCAATGCAACAGACCAGCCAAAAGGTTACGTTTCAAATAAACGTTCAATCAAACATTTCACGAGAATGAAAGGTCTAATTCATAAAGCTTGAAATCATGAAAAAACACAAAACAAAAGGAAGTGAAATAAACCAAATAGGCACATATCTATAGACTATAACAAGTAAATTATCATAACAAACAAACATATAAACAGATAAAATAAAACAAACAGAAAATGTAAATCCAATTTAATCTCATTAAAGTCATGCAAAGTGAAAAGAAGATATTAAATCATCATACTAATTAGAAAACAAAAAAGGTTTTTGCAATTTCACTTCAATGCAAAATTGCAAAGTAGTTTGAACATAGATAAACAAATCCATGTATCTATTTTTTTTTTTTTTTTTTTAAATCAAATCCATGTATCTATAATCTCTAATTCATAATAAAACATATATAGGTGTGTATACGTATGGAAGTTTCAATACAAATCTGAGTTTAATGAGAGGGGTAGAGAAAACGAAAGAGGGGCACAAATACCTGATCAAAATTTTCGGGCAATGAATCTTAAATCGAGTTCAGTGATTGAAAATTACCAATTGAAGCAAATGATAATCCCCGATTGGAATGGTTTGCTGAATGACGCTGCGAATCAGAGATTGCTAACCAGAGTTAGTTTTGCAATTTCACTTCGAAGCAAAATTGCAAAGCAGCTTGAACATAAACAAATCCATGGAAATCAATAAAGATCTGAGTTTGATGAGAACGTAAGAGAAAACAAAAGGACACAAATACCTGATCAAAATTTCCAAGCAATGAATCTTCAATCGAGTTTAGTGATTGAAGATTACCAATTGACGTAAATGATAATCCCTGATTGGAAGGGTTTGCTGAATGATGCTGCGAATCAAAGTTAGCTACTGGAGTTAGATTCTTCAAAACTCGTAGGTGGTTGTTGTTTGAAGCTACTCATGAATGGTCTCTTGTGAGAAGCCAGGAACAATGAAACTCTCTCTCTCCGATAAATTTTTCCTCCTAGTTTTCCCGGGTCTTTTCTCACAGATATAAAGGAATTAATGTTCTAGAAGGTCCTCCTATTTCTTAATTCATTTCCCTCTCCCTTTCCTTTCCCATATGTTTTCCATTATAACCAAACAAAAATAGGAACCCCCAACTAAACACAGCGTTAACTTCATCCGCTATTAAACCCTATAACACAACTCATTCCCACCTCAGCTCTTTTCTCTACTGCATCCCCCTCCACCCTCATACCATGATCTAATATCTTCAATCTCTCCTTTCTGACCTCTTTTCACTCTACTTCATAAAACCATTATTTGCTCCCTTAGCCCCAATTTACCCCTAACCCTCCACCATTTTGGGTTCCCCCATCACACAAATTTACATATGCATATGTATTATAAAAGAGGTAAATGTACACATAATATGTGTGTATATGTGTTGTAGGTAACTTTATGATTGGAGAAAGAATAAAGAATAAGACGGAGAAAAAACATAAAAAGTTGAGGCAAGAGAAGAAAGGAAATTATTCATTGCTAATAATAAAATTAGAAATCACACAAACCCACAAGTTTCAAAATGTAACTCATGAGGTTTTTTAGTTTTTTATTCCAAAAGAACAAGCATTCGCTCCACTTCCCTCTTCAAGCTCACCCTTCTATTCTAGAATGAAGAACTTCAATTTCTTACACCCTAAAACCGATGCTTAATGGCCTATCCAGTTGCTGTTTGGGTCAAGCATTCATTAACCAGTCCCAACAACCAAAAACAAGGTTTAAAAAACCAAACAGAAATTAACTTTATTGTGATATAACAAATGGAAGAAACGCATTACTTCAACTAATGATCTGATGATGAAATGGTCAAAAAGTACATTAGTCTTCAATGTTTTATAAAAAAAAGAAAAAGAAAAAGAAATAGTTATCGAAAAGGTCCCTCCGCAACCAAAGCCAAAACCAAAGCCAAAGAAGAATTAGCTGTAGACTAGAAAAGATAGAAAACTTGATGAGAACACATACAACCAACAGTATACATTTTCTCTACAATACTTTTCCACTCAAGTATATATCATTACAATACCAGGAAGCAAAATGCCTTCAATTTGTTTCCACACCATGTGCAAACAAAGCTGATACACCAATGACCAAACTACCTGAAAAAGGGGGGGTGGGGGGAGATGAAGAATAAAAAATCAATAAATTTTCTTCAAATCAGCAGTAAAAAAAATAAGTAAATCCATCAATTTTTTTCCTCTCCTTGCCATTGTGGGTTAACAATTGCCAAAATAACACAACCCACGATCACCCATCATAAATCAACTAATATACTTGCACCAATTAGCAGTGTTTTTTCTATCCAGTCATGAAACTATCAAAATTGTGCACACTTTGTTTTGTTTAAGATGCCATCAGAGGAATACAACACACTCCAACTACATTCAAGTCACATCTCTATGCACGTGCATGTGTTTGTGTGTGTGAGAGAGAGAAGAGGATACAGTATTGATAGGACCAACACTCAACGATGTATCCTGGATATTGATGGGGAAAAAAGGGACAAATAATCTATTAAGAGATCAAACTAGCTACAACACATGGCATATAGCTCTCACTTTTTGAACAAAGAGCCCCATACTATGACATCAATGTCTAAGTTGAACAAAAGTTCTGCAACCACCAAGGACAAGGAGTTCCTCATCCAGTGAAGCTTTTAGAAAGCACAGCCAGATGCACAATAATTCACTCAGCAGTGCCCGGAGAAGAATGAACCTTCAGTAATCTTTACCACCAATCTCAAAAGGTCCTTAAAGTGATCTCAATCATAGTTGCAAATCGAGAACTATATTGTGAGTCAAAATCCTAATTTTGTGAATCGTGAATCAAATCAAATAGAAAGATTCGGCAAAAACTGTAAAAAATGATGTCAAACAAATCGTATATCCAAATAAAATAAAATAATTGATTTTAGCACATGTTATACAATAGTTATAGTATAATAAAATTATTACACTGCCTAATTGGGAATATGTAACCTTCATAACAGGAGATTTGGGTTCAGATCCCACCAACCATGACATTTAGTCCTCTTTGAAATGTCAAAGGATAAAATTCAACAATTCTCTAAAACTCTCTTATAAGTGACTATGAATATATTTAGGGTAAATTTCATTGACATGACCTCCCTTGAGGTTTGCAGCCATTACAAGTTACAACAACCTCCACTAATTTGATGAAATTGCACCAACCTTCTTTAAAAAATTTATTCGCATTACATATTCACCCATGCCGTTAAAGAGCCGTTCATGAAGTAATAGTTTTTGCTGAAGTCACTGTAAAAATAATATAAAATACATTACCCCTCTTAAAAGATATTAAGGTGAAAAGTCAACTATATCTCTCACCAAACCTACTTTTCTCTCTCCTTTCCCTTTCCTGAAAACCAATTCAGTCCGACCTCCCTTACTCCGGTTACCATCCTCACAGCCTTCCTATGTTACACGGACTCGGGTGCGGGTATCGGGTGCTGGTGCGTATCTAAGGGTCAGACACTTCAAAATTAAAAATGAAGGATACGTGGATACGGATCCAAATTTGGATACGAATACGGGGGTACGTCAAATAATTATTTCTTAAATATATATTTTTTTATACACATGAATTAAATATATATTTTTTTATACACATGAGTTAAAAAGTTGATCCAATAATTTTTTTATATATAGTTTATAGACCAAACATATAAATTAACTACATAACAACCTTTGTTGACTAAAATTTTAATAGGCCCAAAGTTTTACTTATTTGCCTCAGCCCAATTGTTTTTAAATTTTTTTTTTTTATAAAAAGAATAAAATAGAAATATGAAATATAATAAATAAATAATAAATAAAGAATAAGAGAGAGAGAGAGACGGGCAAATCAAAAGCAGATCTGGATTAGAAGAGAAAGGCAGATTTGGAATAGAAGAGAAAGGCAGTGAACGAGAGAGAGAGAGAGAGAGAGAGAGACGTGGCAGAGAAAGAGAGAGGGGGTTACAGTCGTGCTCGTCGAAGACGAAGACGAAGTAGGCCCTTTCGAAGACAAAGACGAAGGGCGCGAGCAGGGGGATCGAAGTCGGCGACAGAGGGATCGATGTCTTGCCCTTTCGAAGTCGGCGATAGGTTCTCTCCTTACTCTCTTCTCTTTCGTTTCTTCTCCCGTATCCATTTGTACAGAGCCATATCCCGCACACCCGTACCCGTGTCGTGTCGTGCCGACACGAGTACCTCCCAAAAAACGAAGAGTCCGTGTAACGTAGCAGCCTTCTAATCTTCCTCTTTCCTCTTTGCGAAGGAACTGAGTTCGGCATCAGCTACTCCTATCTTCGCACAATCTCTCTCTCCTCTGCCTTATGTCTCTCCAAAACCACCATTTTCCACACCAATCTCCTAATCATAAAAGTATAATCCACCATTGGGACACCACTGACCCGTTTATCACTTTGATTTACCAAATGAGTGAGGTTCCATTGCTTGACCAACACCCTGATATATTAGGTGAATAGGATTAGTGCTATAAGAACATTCTTTTCAACATGAAAGCCACATTTTGTGTAAAATAAAGTAATGTATGTCCCTTTGATTTAAATCACTTGTTTCGTCACTTGAATCTAGGTCTAGTCATTCTTATGTATTGGACATTAAAGTGCCCAATTGACTTATGGTGGACAAGTACATAACGTAAAAAGTTAGACTGGTTAGACAGTAAATTTATATTTACGTCATTGTTGCTTATGGACATGGGTTGGTGGAGGGGTTGCATTATGCTATTATGACACGAGTTCCATTATTATTGATAATTAACTCTTTAAAACCTAGAGTACAGTCACAATTATTCAGTGGAGTTAATTGTAAGCAATTGGTTGTCTTTATCCTTATGATGAGATAAGGAGTGGAGAAACTAATTGGAGCTAGATTTTAAAGAGGCCCAATCCAAAGCCTAATAGAGAAAAGGCCAGGTGTTTATATAAGGCATAGGGTATATACACACATTGTCTTCTACTATATTGATTGTAGAGAGAGAAAGAGGATCCAATCATCCTCTCTTTGCTTAAATTCCCGTCTTCGAGGAGAACAAGGATATTCAATCGTTCTTCTCATCCATATTCAAGTGAATTAGAAAATCAAGTCCACAATTTTTGAAGATAGTGCAAGCCTTCATCTTCTAATCTCAAGTAAATTCTATCTTGTGATTTGACTTGCAACCAGAACCACAAAGGGATCCTTTTGATCTACTCTCCATCTAGAATATTACAAATATATGAGATAAGAAATGAATTTAAAGGTTTTGTATGATTTATGAAACCAACATAGGCAGCAGTGGCAGTAAAGATGAAGGTTGTCCATAATGGGTGAGCGAGATGAGAGGGAATATAGAGAGAGGTAGCGAGACAAAGATTGTGGTGGCTAATGATCATCGCGGGACAAGTGGTGGCGATCGTGGTTAGTGTTGCTGGTCATAGTACATGATGTGGCAGCAAATGCATAGAGAGAGATTGAATAGAGTGTGTGTGTGTGTGGCCCATGTGGGTTTTGTTTTGATACACCATGGATGGCTAGTTATATACTTTGGCAGCCATGAAAGTTGGCTGTTAGCAAAGAGAATGTGAGGAGCAGTGTATAGTAGAGTATGTTGGTCTTGATTCATATAACTATAATTCCTATAAGTTGCAAAGGCCATCCAGTGGGTTATGTTCAAGCAAGTGATATGGTATACAGGTATGCAATAGTGAAGAAGAACATTGAAAATAGAGTAGAGAGAGGAAGAATTGGTTGAGAGATAAAGGAAAGATTTTGTTAAAGCAGTCAATGGGTGGTATGGATTTTAAAAGCATCTCCATGGGGAAAGTGGAGCAGCTGGAGAGGCATTTTGTGGAAGACGAAGCCCCAAAGGATCTCAATGAGAATAAAGCTCCGTGGCTTGATGGCACAACTAAGGGTTTTGGTTTTCAAAAATTGTTGGGGTGATGAGGGGGTAGGAGGTGACAGGTATGGTGAACTAATTTTACAAGCATGCCACGTTCGAGAAGAGTGTGAACGCATGTTTTAAAGCATCAATCCCCGAGGTGGATGATATCAGAGATTTTAGCCCTTGTAGTTTGCTTGGTGTGTATACAAGTTGTTGGCAAAATGTTTTGCTACTCAATTGAAGGAGCTGTTGAAGATTCTCAAAACGTCCTCATAAAAACCCCTAGCCACAGCAGCTTGATAATCCGAAAGAGTGAGCTAAACATTGAAAAGACCTATAATCATATCAATTGGGACTTCCTCCTATATTTGGCAGGGAGTATGAGCTTCAGAAGCAAATGAAAGAAGTGGATTTCCTTTCTATATCTCTAGAGTTCGGTTGTCAGATGGTGAATGGATCACTTGCAGGCCTTTTTAAGACCTCAAGGAGATTGAGGCAAGCGGATCTTTTATCACCCTTGTTTTTCATTTTGGTCATGGAGGCATTGGTTCAGATGATTAGCAGGGCAGTTGCGAGGGGGCTTTTGGAGAGCTTTAGGGTGCGTTTGTTGGAAAATGCTCTGATGGTGGTCTCTGATCTATTAAATGCCAATTGTATAGTGATTTTATTGTGCGGCAGATACTCTACGGTGTGTCCTTTTGTGTTTTGACTTTTGAGATGGTTTAAGTTTGAATTAATTCCAATGGGATACGTAACACACATTGAGGATTTTGGTTTCCATTCTTGGTCGTAAGATAAGTGCTTTTCCAATATCATATCTTCATTTACCTTTGAGATCACCGTTTAAGGCTAAGGCAGGTTAGGATGGGGTTGTGGAGCAATTTCAGAGACTGGAACTCTGAAATCAACATATCAATTGAAAGCAACATTTGAGTTAATGAAATAAATTTTGTATAATGATGGGTTATAAATACTAACTACAAGAGAAATGGTTTGACAGAACAGAACTGATGTTAAGTTTTTTGCTAAATTACTAGTTAGATTTTAATAAGTCTAAATGCTCTTACGTCTATGCTACTTTTCTTTCTTTCGCAATAAAATAGGATCTGCCGGAAAGGCAACAAAAGGGACTATGTCGGAAATATGAAACACTAAGCATTATAGGTTGGGCCAGGGTCTCACATATTACAGCAGGGTCCATTCAGGTCCCCTGACCATATTTGACCGATTTGCCATCCACAGACAAAATTGCAGCTGCAAAACTCATACTTAAAGTGATATCAAAGAATCTGGATAGCTTGAAGCTGAAGGTATCAGCATAAATAGCTTGTATTTTAACTGTCATTCTTGTCACCAGAAAACTGTCTAATACAGGAAGGTGGCCAAAGGCATGCAGGAAACACTCACATAAATTATCTATACACTATCACACTTGATTCTTCTCTTCCCTGCATTCAATAATGGTTAACTGCAACTGGCTACAGTGGTAATCACAACAACAAAGTGAAAAACAAAGGAATAAGCAATGTTGAAAAGGAACACCTCTATATTTTTCGCCTTTGTAGTGAAAATAGGAGATCATTTTATCGATTTAAACTTAAACTGAAACAAGTAAGGATAGTAGCTTTCTATTTGGTTCACCCAGGTGACCATGGGCTTGAATGGCAACAGTTGTGCTTAATACAAGAAATTGACAAACAACTCAGTTCAGCTGGCAGTTTATCTCCAAAAAAACAAGGAACTCATAAAAATAAAAGAACTACATTGCAGCCCAAAGATGTACCAAGCTATATATAAAATCTCCATAACTATTTGTCTCTTTGTTACATGAGGTGAACATTCCATAACAAACTTATCAAAATTCCATATTACAATTCGTCATATGTCAGCCTTCTGCAGCCTAATTGGTTCCACCTCAGAAAAATGACTCTACAATCCTTGTGATATTAGTATTTATAATTGGTTCCATTACAATGTTCCCCAAAAATTTGACTCTGCATAACTTGAACAGCCAAAACTTTCTTAAATTACCCAAACCACATCAAAATGCACTACTAATCAATATGCTAAATACCCATATGATATAATATAATAGAGAAAGAAATTAGACAAAAACACATACCATTTGATGAGCCAGCCAAACAGGAAGTGCTGCATGATAGGAACTTTGTCCAAGACTTCAGCTTTGTACATCTTAAGCATGCCACTATTCACCTTGTTCCAATTGGGCACGCCGCTGATATCATCCAACATGGGCGAATGCTCCGCAAGCACACCCTTCTTGACCTTCTTCACAAACGCAATGCACGAAAGATAAAGGTACTCATTGGAGAAATTCTCGAGTATGTCATCATTATGAATGGACTTAGGTTTCATATACTTATGATCAATCAACTGCGCCGACCCGAAAATAAACGGCAAAAAGTGATAATCATCCAAACCCCAAACACCATGAGAGCCAGCAGGCTCAAGACAATAAACCAACTGCAATTTCCTCATCAATTCAAGGTATTTCACAAAAACCCTAGCCACAGCAGCTTGATAATCCTCTTCCTTGATCACGCCCAACAAAGCGAGGCAATACAACCAGGCCGCAAAATTAGTTTCGTGGCCAGTACCATAATCAATCCGGCTAGAATTCCCAAAACTATCGGTGAAGTAAGAGACAATCTCGACAGTAGCAGATTGTAGATCCTCGGTAAGAAAATCGATCATGAAGGATTCAGCGTTTTCCGTCATACGAGAGTGCCAAGTTCGATACGAGTAGTTTCCATACCGCGATGATTGAGCAACCGGAGGGATTTCATCGACGAAGCGGATTAGGGTTTGGAGGATATAGACGATGGAGGAGACAGTGGGGGAGAGGTGGCAGGGGTCGGAGATCTTGCGGCGGCGGATGGAGTGGCTGAGGCGGTGTCACCATGGTCGACAGCACTGTGGCTCCTCTATCGGATCAACAGTGCTTATGAACATGCCAACACTGTGTGTGTATGTGTGTGTGTGTGTGTGTTTATATATATGTGTTTGTGTTTTAGATCTGTGTCTAGATCTTACTATTTGATTTACATGTGTTGATCTATATTATTATTTTATTTCTTTTTTGGGTTACAGATCTTACTTTTCTTATTGTTGTTGTTATTGTTGTGATTGTTGTTATGGAAATCGAGAAATGAATTTGTTTGTGGTTTGATAGATGCAGTTGGCAGTAATAGTGTGAGTGTGGTGGTGTTCTCCGATGGTGGTGGTGGTGGGAGGAGGATTTGGTGGGGATTTTGGAGAGGAGGGATGTTCTTCTGGTGGAGGAAGGGAATCCATTAGTAATGGTTGTTGGGTTGGGGGTGGAAGTGAGTGGATGAAGTGAAGATCAGTGGTTAATTTTGGGGGGATTGTGAGAGAGAGTATGTATGAAATGCACTGGAATGCTTCAAGAGTCTTCTTTGAACAGACCTATTGGTATTACCTATTGGATGATATATATTCCCTTTTTTTATTTAGAATGCTTCAAGAGTCTTCTTTGAACAGATCTATCAGTATTACCTATGGCATGATATATGATGATACAGTTTGTTCCAGTAAATGGATTGGATTGGACTGGTCCAAGCTCCTCAAGCTCACGTTAAAATGATCAAGTCTTGCTGAATAACCTGCAAACAAGTTCAACAGGGAACTGGGTAGTCCCCCACTAAACACTCCGACGAGCAAGTTAAGAAGAGAAGTAGCGTGCAGAGGGAGAGATTTGAGATAGAAAAACTTAACATTCTCCTTGTCTTTTACGTTTGCTTATATCCTTTAGTAATCATTTCGATGTCTCTTCCGACCTGCCCTCCTCACCGAAAGTCTATGTTGTAGCTTACCTTGTTCAGGTTAAGGCGGTGTTGTTCCAACGGAGAGGTGTTGTCATAATAAATGCTGTGACGGGCTACATTAATGGTGATGTACAGTGGCAATAACTTTGCAGATCTTTGTCTGCTGATGTGGCTTGTCCTTTGCCTGCCATGTATCTGAATGTCATTGGCTCTTTGTGCCATGTTGGATTCCAGCTGTTCTGGACTCCACCAGCTGGATTATGTACTGGGCTCCAAGTGATGGGCTTGGGTTGTTTATAGTGGGCTATGGTCTTTATGGGGCCTTTATGGGCTTAACCACGTCAGTAGTCCCTCATTCCCAAGTGCAGCTTTAGTCCAACAAAGGGAATACTAATGAAGGGAATGAGGATGTTAGGGAATGGCAAGATGGGGGCCGACAGGCAGAGGTGACCGAGGGGGTGGATCGACCGTGAGGTGGACCGACCGCGAAGGGTGGCTGAGTGGGAGGAGCGACCACGAGGAGGGCTGACCGCGAGGGTTGGCCGAATGGGAGGGCCGACTGCGAGGAGGGCTGACCACGAGATGGACCGGCTACGAAGGATGGCTGAGTGGAAGAGGCGACCACGAGGAGGGCCGACCGCGAGGGTTGGCCGAGTGGGAGGACCGACCACGAGGAGGGCCGACCGCGACAGGTAAGGTGGCGAGGCGCGGGGCTCAAGAGGTGGCGTGTCACGTGGTGATTTGAAGTGGAAAAGACAGGGTACGGGGAGGGAACAGTGGATCGTGGTCGTATACGTGGCAACATCTCGCGGGGGAGGGGAGATGAGGCGTTAGATCAGAAATGAAACGATAAGTCATTATGGGTGTTAAAAAGATAGTTTTGGCGGATGATTTGAAAAGTTTTCAAACTAGCGAAAATTAATTAGGATCCTTGGAATACGAGCAAACTATGGGCTTTTGGCATTATTCGATTCACCTACTTGTTTACGAAAAATCAAAATATTCCAAGTGTGAATTCCTTTGTTGCTCACAATACACCTCCTCAAGCCCATGTCCAAATGATCAAGCCCTACCAGATAACCTGCAAACAAGTTCAACGGGGAACTGGGTAGTCCCCCAGTGAACCCTCCGACGAGCAAGTTAGGAAGAGAAGTAGCGTGCAGAGGGAGAGATTTGAGATAGAAAAACTTAACCTTCTCTTTGTCTTCAACGTTTACTTATATCCTTTGGTAATCATTTCGCTGTCCTTTCCGACCTGCCCTCCTCGCTGAAAGTCTATGCTGTAGCTTACCTTGTTCAGGGTAAGGTGGTGCTGTTCCGACGGAGAGGTGTTGTCGTAATAAATGCTGTGACGGGCTGCATTAATGGTGATGTGCAGTGACAATAACTTTGCAGATCTTTGTCTGCTAATGTGGCTTGTCATTTGCCTGCCATGTGTCTGAATGTCATTGGCTCTTTGTGCCATGTTGGATTCCAACTGTTCTGGACTCCACCAGCTGGGTTATGTACTAGCCTCCAAGTGCTAGGCTTGGGTTGTTTATAGTGGGCTATGGCCTTTATAGGGCCTTTATGGGCTTAGCCACGTCAATATATATTCCCTTTTTTTTATTTTTTTATTTTTATATTTATAATGCATATTGGGAAATTTGGCTGTAAACCCCCTTTACCTTCCTTTCATTGTTAAAAGGACTAAGAAAAAAATTAAATTTTCTAAACCCCTTCATAATTATAAAAATCTTGCATAAAGGACAAAATTTATTATTTAAATATTTTTTCAGACTATTATACCCTCAACTAAATCTTCCTACTTTCTCCACCCACTCTCTCTCCACCTTCTTGGTCTCTATGACTCTGGCCAGCCAAAATCAAGTTCATCTGAGCCTAAGATTCATTCAATCTTTGACTTAAAACACTGACCTGGTTCAAGCAATCACAATCTGACCTGTGTATTTGAATTGAAGCTTAGTTTGAAGCTTTAATCTTATTTGCGTCTGTTAAGAAACCAAGGACTTCATCGCAAAATTGATCCGATTCGACAATCAACCCGAATTCAAGCTTCTGGAACTCGCGATTACGAACTGGAGTCCTTCGCGATCTGACCTTGGGTTTTCTCTTGTGACTCGTTGTTCTTTGAGTCAACTTCGATGAAAACTTTGGATTTCAAGTTCTAATTGGAATTGCGATTTCAGTTTGCATCTGGCTTAAAGGTTGCAAACTCTAAGTTCGAACGACTTGCAGATCGACTTCGCTAACTGAATCGCAATCAGACTTGTGTTTGCTATCTTGAAGCGAAATTAGACTCAATTGGAAGCTTCTATTGCAATTTGAAGATCCATCGAGTTTGCAATGACCACGTGGAGAAGAGTGCGGGTGGAGTTGTTTGGTTATACATATTTTTTTAAACACATATTTGAGTTTTGAATATATGTGTATATATATATATATATTTGTGTGTATGAGTGTTGTTGAACACATGTATTCTTTTCATTGAGATTTGTGATTGTTGATCGAGTTTTAGAAGTTTTTCTTCTCAATTAGATAGCTGATTTGTTGATTAATTTGTTTTGTTTTTGTTTGTTTGTTTGTTTTTTATTTATTTTTGTTGTTTTTTATCTAATTTCATTTGACAGAACCAGAGTAAAATTTTACTCTGGTTCTATTGCTCTGTTTTTTTCATTTGATAGAATCAAAGTAAAATTTTACTTTTATACAGAGTAAAAGTTTACTTTTGTGTAGAGTCTAACATTTTACTCATTTTTCAGAGTAAAATTTTACTTTTATACAGAGTAAAATTTTACTTTTGTGTAGAGTCTAACATTTTACTAGTTTTTCAGAGTAAAATTTTATTTTTATACAGAGTAAAATTTTACTTTTAATTTCAGAGTGTAACATTTTACTCTTATTTATAGTAAAATTTTACTTTCATACAGAGTAAAATTTTACTTTTATATAGAGTAAAATTTTACTTTCATACAGAGTAAAATTTTACTTTTAGTTTCAGAATGTAAAATTTTACTTTCATACAGAGTAAAATTTTACTTTTATACAGAGTAAAATTTTACTCTGAAATACATAGTGAATATGGCTTAATAGGAGAGCTGATAGATATGAGGGTAATATAGTAAAAGAAACAAGTTTTAAAATATTAGGGGGTTTTGAAAGTACTTATATAATTCTTGTCCTTTTGAAAGACAAATTAGATAGTGAGGGGGCTATCACCAAATCCCCCCATGCATCTTTCTTATATCATTCATTTGATGATTTTTATTAATAAATCTTATTTAGAAGTATTTTAATTCAAGAAGTTCATAAATGAATTTTTTAACTCACTTAGTCTCATGTATTTATAGTTTTATTTTATATAGTCTTTTTTCTTAATTTACACTATTTTGTTAGATTCTTATACCTTTATATTTTAATGTTAATTTTTAATGTTGAGGAAGGAGAGAGAAGAGAAATGACCGAGGCATAGGAAATTTCATACACAAATTAAATAATATTGATGTTTTTATTTTATATTATTATATAATGTGAATATATTTTGAATTGACAACACATTAAAACTAATGTGAATATTATCTCTCATTGATGTGAATATATTTTTAATTAACAGCACATTAAAAATAATGTGAACACTATCTCTTATCTGATGTAAACGTTTACAACACTTTTTCAAAAAATACTCTCTCATCTAATGTAATGATGTGAACGTTCACAACATGTGAACATTTTTATTTTTAATTGACAACACATTAAAAATAACGTTCATTATATTTTTCATTGACAACACATTTTTATTCCCAACATATAATGATGTGAACTTTCTCAACATGTGAACATTCTCTTTTATCTAATGCAGTGATGTGAACGTTCACATTTTTTTTTGAGTGAAGATATAATGACAATTAACATTAATGGAGGTATGAGAGATTTAGGGTATTTTAGTCTTTTTATCTCAAATAAGACCTATGAAATAGGGTGATTCTACTTACACCACTCTTTTACCTCCTTACACCCTCCATCTCATTACACCACTTAAAAAAAAATTAAATTCTCATTACACCTAATATATTACCAAAACAAACCCTATGATAAAAAACTCTTCAAAAC